CAGCACTTTTACTGAGCACAGTGGGCAAAGATAGAACAATATTCCTAGACAACTTCTCGCTGTGTTTGGGCACCATCGATGGAAGGCATGTACAAATCGAAGCACCTCCAAAGTCCAATAATGACTATGACGGAGAATCTCTTTGCACAAATGCAAACTCTTAAATGAGCAGTTTCTGATTATTGGTTATTTTAGTTGTGTTGAATTGTGATTTTTGTGGATGGATGAGGTGGTTGTCTGAAATCATTGAGAGGATTTAGCTAGCAACTGGCCACCCTGACTAATAACTTCTAGCCAACGCCCTTGTGCAGGGAGTGAGCCCAACTTAACCTGGGCAGCATTCCTGTAGTCGTGTGACATATCTGTAGAGTCTCATGTTTTCATTGTACCAAACATTGACTGGCTGTTAAGTAATTATGAATTGCTATATAATATGTAGTTTAGAACACCTGAGCTTTACTTTATCTATTCCTGAGATTTCTTCTGTAAGTGAGCTGATTTTGCAGCAAACAGTAAGTATCTGTGGTTAAAAGTAGCCACATCAACATGTGGAGAAACTCCTCTGTGTTTTAGTCACTTTAACGATTATTATTGATCCAGCTACTGGTTAAGACACTTGTTTAATATATTCATCCCCAGTGTGCACGGTCACAGATTGACAGATTCACAGACTGCACATTGACAGGAGTCTACGCAAATCCTCACAAATTGGACAGAAGAAAAAAATGTACATCATATGGACCCTTGTGGACACTCGGATGTAGTACACATGAATTGGCCTGAACAGTGAATCATGTAGATTCCATGTATATTTTGTATGTATAGTCAAATATCTGCACAGTAAGCTGTCAGATAACTATGTTCAGAAGAGTACAATGCTAATATGAGAGTAAGCAAATGCGAATATCATAAATTTGAATCATGAAAGGGTGTGATTAGTATCTCAGAACGGTACTTACAATGACAGTGTTGTGCAAATGTGCTTAAAAATTAAAGTAAAGATAGCATTGTTAAAATTAGCCTCATAGTCTATGTGTAGCAGCATTGCTTCAAACTCTTGTTCCTCTTTCTTTTTCTCCTTTGTGTGTAGTTGTTTGGTAACCTGGCACTAGATGAGGAGGGAGAGAGTGCCATCAATGAGCACAATAACTTCCGAACTTTCATTATGGCCCTAATGCTGCTCTTCAGGTAAGTCCTCGAACCGGTCTTTTCTTCCTGTCTTGTTCTTCTTTTGTCTATAACTTTCTTTTCAAATGCAACATTTTTGGTGGTTCATGTGTGCAGGAGCAGTGATGTGTGAAGAAGCATTTCACTAAACAGAAATAAATGTTGTAGTGACATCCATCGGTGTCCATAAGTGCGCTTGATAATTTTTAAATTCATATCTCGTTATGCAGGAGCGCTACGGGCGAGGCATGGCATGAGATCATGTTGGCTTGCCTTGGTGGTAAAGAATGTGACCCGGCCTCAGGGAACACAGAACCCGAGTGTGGCAGCACCTTTGCCTACACCTACTTTGTCTCTTTCATCTTTCTGTGTTCTTTTCTGGTGAGGAAAAACATTTAATGTCTTTTAAGTGGTTAAAATTGTCAACATGTACGTGCATATATTTCTTTTCATATTTCTAATCATATTACTTCTGACTAGAAGACAACATATTATGGTAGTAGTTGTAGTTTTTCGTTTTTTCTTCTTCTTCAGTGAGCCGTATTTTCCTGGTTCCTCCATAAGGTTCAAAACTTGCATCTTGTAGAGTGGAGGTCTATGAGAAAAATATTTTTTAGGCTCCAGGGGATTATTAAACTAGAAAAGTTTTCCGAGCAGTTTGTTTTCCACGCACTCGTTCCAGATGCTGAATCTGTTTGTGGCTGTCATCATGGACAACTTTGAGTACCTGACCAGAGACTCTTCTATCCTGGGGCCGCATCACCTGGACGAGTATGTAAGGATATGGGCCGAGTACGACCCTGCCGCCTGGTGAGTGGCGCACACATGGACTCGTACACACACTTTCACAGGATGACAAACATACCAGTACAGACACACAAGTGAAATATTATGTAGTGCAAAAATATTAAAAGATGAATGTACATACACAGCACTATTGTGTAATGTAAAACCACGTTATGTGTGTCCACACACGCTGAATGTAAAGTTACTTTTAACCCCTGGCTTTTTCTCCCGTCCCAAATTGGGGCAACGACTGGTGTCATGATCTCATCAGAGAGGTGTGATGATGAAACAGGATCAACATAATGGGAGTTTAAAAAATGGAACAGTTTCAGCTGCTCTGACTGACCCAAGAGTTATCCAGCCTTCTCTCTGTCTTTCTCTCTCAAACTTTTCTGCCTTTTTACTCAAATTGCACAATCTTTGTGCACAATTAAGATGAATGTAACCCTCCCCTCTTCCTTTTCTTTCCTCTGTAATGTGTGTGTGTGTGTGTGTGTGTGTGCGTGTGCATGTGTGTGTGTGTATGAGAGGAAGGTTTTTCTCAGTGTAAATAAATGCTCTTACCTTTTTCTACTTTTTTGTTTTTATCTTCTTCAACTCTCTCTCTCTCTCGCTCTCTCTGAATTCTGTGTTCCCTCACCTAACCTCCCCTCCTTGTATTTTTCTTGCAGCGGGCGCATACATTATAAGGATATGTACAGTTTATTGCGAGTTATCTCCCCTCCTCTGGGCCTTGGCAAGAAATGCCCACATAGGGTGGCCTGCAAGGTTTGGACTAAACCCCTAAAGCACAAACTTAAACGCAACCTGCTCGCCTTTAAGAGACTGGAATGAATGTCGCTCTATTTCACTTTTAAAACAAATTCTTTCCTACTTCAACTTTTTTTATTTTCTTTGGTTTGATTTTTCTGTTTGGGTTTGCATTAATCACTTGTTTTAAGCTCATTTCACCATTGAATCATTCTTTTTGGGGGGAGTTCTGCTGTATATGCATTCTGATATGACAATGAGAATGTTTGGGACAATGCAGAGATGCGCACACACACTCTTGTACACACTCACACACACACACACCAATAGCGGTGTGTGAAGCATGAGGTGGTGCACTGCACTTGCTATTGTCTTCTGACTGAACGCTGGGAAAATGACACTGATCTGTTCACTTTTAATTCACTACTGTGTAGACATTAGAGTCTAGACTCCAGTCAGCCATTGTCTTTTATTTCTGCTTGCTGTCTAATTTTGCCTGGGCAGAAAATGGTTGAGCAATGTGCATTGTTCTTATTTCAGTTAGGGTCTGGGTGAGGGAGGTGGGGTTCTTTAGGGCAGAGACACACCCAGAGAGGGTTTGGTCTGAGCACTGTCACCACGCTAACCTTCATAGCAGTTAGCTCAGTCACTGTTTCCCAGGCTTGTGTCGTCCAACCACGAAAGTCTGCAGACTCTGATTCTAGTCCCTGAAACAGCCGATTCCTCTGAATGAAACCAGCTCATGGCAGCTGCTGGTTGGAATGAAAACCTGCAGATTCTTGTACCTCCATGGCATGTGTTTGGGAACTAATGTTCTAAGCTATCTGTAATTTTACATTTTAAAGCAACTATGTGTGGATTTTTATTTATTATAATTGTAGAATCTTATTTGTAGAAAAACAACAGTTTCTTTTTAGGAGTATAGAACCTCACATCATTGCTAAAGGGCAACGCACAAGGTTCTCGCACAATAAAATATATCTTAGGAGTTATAAGTCAAACATTTGCTAAAAGTTGGACCAATTACCAATGAAGTTACTTTCTGAAAAAAAATCAAAGTTAGTTATCTCACATTCTTAACCCACAGGGATGTAGAATAACTTAAATGTTACTTTTAACGTCCTTTTTCATGTTCAGTAAAACTATGATTTTCTTCTATTCGGCCTTTTTTATGGTGAACACTGCAGTCCCATATCATATTGACATCGCTTGTCCCCGTGCAAGCTTGTTATGCAGGCAGAGAGGTTGTGTATCTCACATGCTTTGAGTGGAGAATGTAACAGGCCCTGTGGTAACAGTTTATATTGAAGCAGTGTCACAATATGACCGAACCTGCTCTGTCTGTGGCTCTGGTGTATGGGTAAAGAAGGAAAGGGGCAGGGTGTGTGTGTGATTTGGAGCAACGATTTTGGACATGAAAAGGTCTTGTGTCCACCAGGTACCTCTCAATAACTACCTGTGTGGGCAGATGCTCATGGGAGGAATTGTTGGTCATGGCATCTACATTTAGTTTGTGTTTGTCAGGAACATTTTAGGGTTCCGCTAATAAAGCAATTAAACTCAACGATTTTCTATAAACGCATACAGTAAGCCTAGTTTTCACAATTTATTTTTATTGTATTGTTGTAATTAATCGATGCATCTCCCTCAGGTTGTATATTTGTAGCGCTGTGTGTTCACGCCATGCTGCCAAGCAGATAATGTGATTTCATGAAGAACTGTTTTTATACGATCAGTGATGTATCTGACTGACACTTCAGTTTATATTCATTCAGTCTTTTTACACTTTCCTCAGAATAGTAGGTGCACACAGTCTGAGCAGCCTACCACTAAACCAACATCTGTTCACCTCCATTGTAAATAAAGTGCAAACAGAAACTCCTAAACCCTGGAAAAACACAGTCCAATCTATTTGCATACTTAGATACCACAGGAGGTAGGTGACGAAGCCGTTTTTGTGACGCGGGTGAGCTGACTTTCTAAAAAGCCATTGTCGGGGTATTGCAACCCTTCCCTTCGCCATCAGGGGAGGGCTCCCATGAACATCTGAAGACACAGCTGTGGGCAGAGGTTCCTGGTGGACACGCAGCCTCAGTAACGGACTGCATTGACTTGTCACTGTGACTCACTCCGATCTCTGCAGCGGTGCTTTTCTTTGCCTGCTAGAAGCCCCGCTGCCAGTTCTATCCGAGCGGCGAAAGAGGGCAACGACCAAAAAAAACAATCCCAAATCCCCTTTTCACCTCGCATAGAACGGTATCTCAACAACAACTAACTAAACTAAATAACACCTCCTCCTCCAACCCTCCCCTCCTTCCCTAACCTTTCTCCCTCCCTTCCTTCCTTCCTTCCTCTCCTCTCCCTTACTTTATGATATACCAGACTAGAAGTCACGTAACACCCCCTCGTTCTCTCTCGTTCTCCTCCTTTCTCTTTTTCTCTCACCACAGCAACCACATATCCACAGCGATCAAAACAATAACCTCTGTGTATTTGTTTCCCCCCCTCTTCCTTTCCTTTGTCGGTTTCTTTCTTTTTCCTCCTCATGTCTCCTCCCCCAAACACACCTATGTGCGTCTGCGTCCTCTCCCCTAAATCCTTCCTCTTCCTACCCCTCATTGTTTTTCTTTCTTTCGTTTTCACGTCGTCCGTCTTTGTTTCGTCTGTTGTGTGTGTGTGTGTGTTGCCAAATGGGCACTGAATGCCTGTGCGCATGTGATGTGTGTGTGTATGTGTGTGTTTGTGGCCACCCCAGCGGCCGGATCAGTTACACAGACATGTATCAGATGCTAAGACACATGTGTCCGCCGCTAGGCCTCGGGAAGAGGTGTCCCGCCCGGGTCGCCTATAAGGTAGACTCGCCCCCCACCTTACCCCTCCACCCCCCTCAACCACCAGCCCACCTCCCTCTCTACCTCCCATCATACCTCTCTTCCCTCCTTTGCCCTCCCCCCCATCTCCGTCCTTACACCTCCCCATCGCTGGGGAGGAGAACCTCTTCTCTCTCATATGCTGAAACCTCCCTGTCCCTTTCTTCCTCCTCCTCCTCCTCCTCCTCACCCCCTCTCCTCCACATCCCTCCCTCCCTCCTCCCAGCGGTGTTCTCCTCATTGTCTGTTAGTGGTGGTTGTGGTGGTGGTGAGCGCTGTCCTCTCTTCTTTCTCTCCGACCGCGGGGATGGAGGGATGGGCTTTTGTCGTGCAGTGAAGTGAAGTGATAGTGGAGTGGTAGTCAGTCCTCTTTATTTTATTTCCCTTCTGTCAGGCCGCAGGAGTAAGAGAACGGAGGAGGCTTTGCCAGTCCTTCTGCAACCTGCACGGACGCATGCACGTGCACAAAACCCAATCCAGTCAGAGGAAAATAGTTAGAGCACAGATGTGACAAAGTATTCCCAGTTTTCCATAATATGTTAAGGAACTTGAAAAGTCAGAAACTTAGTTTGAAGGTTGTTAAAATGATGTTTACATATTTAACCTCTCTGCATTTGCAGTTTAAATATATGTAAGCCTATTTTTTCATATTTGTTGAAATATGCTAAAGACTTAAGGCAAAAAAATATAAGACAAAATTTATGAATACATTATCCAGCCACACTTCATTACCTGTTACAGGTTTTTAGTACACTTTAAAAAGTACATCCTGAAAATGGCGCTTACAGATATTTCTAGTGAGCACATATATGGAATTTTATGTGCTGGTTTATAAAATATATGTATACCTTACTCATGCCTTTGTTTCATAATAAGGAACAGAAATGATTTGTTCCTGTTAGAAATCTACAGAGCAACATACAAGCAGCATCTTAAAAGAGAATATTTTAATCAGCGTTATATTTCACACAGTGCAACTATTTGCTTACGATGCAGGTACAGAAGGGCCGGCAAGGATATCTGTCTTCAGTCCTCTGTGTCTCTTTTTCCTGTGGATGGCACTATAGTGCACACATACACATGCCTACATTATCGCACACATACACACTGTGCACACTGTAATAATTATGCATCATAAAAATGAGTGGACAAAGTATTGGCCCTCCTAGTCTTTTTTGTCCTTCTTCGAGATGTTTTTTTTGACACCCAAGGAAGCTTAAGCATCTATGGCTTCATTGTGCCTCAGACCACCAGGGTAAAGATTTGGGTCAAGCATTTCAGCATTCGCTGTCTCGTTGTCTTGTTGTCTACTCTTTCTCTCCACCTCAGTAGCATCCTACTCTGTCTAAACTCTGTCATTCTCCTTCTTATTGCCATCCAGATTCAAAAACATAGCATTGACTGGATGAGTCAGTGCCTTAAGTGTTTCAGAATAATTTCACTGATTGTTGCGGCGGTGCCAACAAGTTCTGAAAAGTAGCACCCACGTTTTTTTGTTTTTTTTTTAAAGGCTTTATTTTATCTAAATTAGGAATTATCTGATCAAAGACTACATATTCCTATTCCAGTTTGCAGTCCTTGACAGTTTTCAATACTTGGTATGGCCAGATTTTGGTCAGCACGGAGGAGAATTAGGGTTTTATACCCAGTACTTGTAAGGTTTCTCACTTAGCTCCCCTGATAAGCTCCTGATATGAGTCCTACTAGTAACATCCTCGGTTGTTAAGACAGAATGGACAGACAGCTCGACCTGTACTCTAGTGTTTCTAACATTTATTGAATCTTGGTGGCAGTACCACATTCACTCCTGTCTCTCTTTCTCACTTTTCTCACTTGTGTCTTTTTTTTTTCTTCCTCCTCTGTTTTTTTCTTCTCTTTACACTGTTTTTGTCTCTTCATCTTCTGCTAATTCTTGCTCTTTCTTTTTTCCTGCCTGCCAGCTATCACTCTGTTTCACTCTTCTGTCGTCTGCATCCACTTGTCTGTCAGAAATCAGGATCCATTTACATTCCCTCATTACATCCCTCTGTCGATCCGAGCCCACACTGTTTCAACTCTACTTCTCCTCTCTGTACTTTCTTCTTTTTTTTCTTTCCAGAATGTCAACCTGTCTTGGCTGTGGCCCCCATCACATACTTCAGCCATCAAAGTCTTCATTTATACAATATCACAGAAAAAAAAGTCAATCAAAGGACCTTTTGAGATCAGAAAGACCTCATGAATAGAGAGGGGAAGGTTCGACACTGATGAGGCAAAGTTGTTGATCTTCTCTTTAGTGGACACAAGGCCTTTCCCTTTAAAAAAGGAAAACGTTGATAACTGTGTACTGCTACAACACCTTGTTTTTTGAACTGACCTCTAAACCTATGTCAGTGTTGTTTTTGGTCCTCGTCTTTATCTTTTGTCGTGTTCTGTAATTTTCAGCCTCTCTCTTCTCTTTTCTTTCTATCTACACACACACACACACACACACACACACACACACACACACACACACAATTCCTTTCTCTGTTAACTCCAACTGACCCACGTTCTCTTGATTCCTCTTTTACTCTTTCAGTGTTTTCACAATCCTCCTCTCTCTCCTCATTCTCGCCCTTCCCTTTTTATCTGTAACTGCATCTCATGACCAAGCTTAGATTCACCTAATTTAGCTCAACTAACTACTGTCCCTACCATGTGTCCCCTTTGATAGACCCCCACCCCCTTACCCAACAGTACTATAACTACAAAGTCTAGTTGGTCCAAAACAAAAAAAACAGTCATCTCTTTTTGATCTTCTTTATAATTTTTTTCTTCTTTCAGGGAATGCCACAACTCTAATCCTCTCTAACTCTGACACCCCCTTAAGACACTGCACCCGTTTGGCATTGAGAGAGATCTTGACTTGATATGAAGTGCTACCATTGCTGTCTAATTTGACTTTGATTCAGGGACCCATGAATGTAAAAATGTAGAGAGCGAAAAAAAAAAAAGAAAAGATGAGAAATTAATCTGTCAATCAGTAGGATCAATCCAGTTGGATTGAGGATACTCTCTTTGCGCGGATGCACGGCTGCTTGTATTGTAAAAGTGGATTTTGAGGGAAGTCGGGGGGGGTAGTGGGCTAGGGTAGGTGGGAACAGTTGGGGCTTAGATAATGGGAGCGAAGTAAAGGCATGCTGCATGCTCCGTGGTCCATGTTTGTGGGATTTTTCTACGGGGGTGTTGTGTGGTGTTGCATGCAATTCTCGCACTCTCTGTTGCATGGCTACGGGCGACATCGAGCCTGCCTGCCTGCCTGCCTGCTGCCTGCCGAGCGCTGTGGATGTTGGCCAATGCCCTTTGCCTGCCGCACACTTGGCTTTGGGCATGCCCGACACTCGCACACACTCAGGAACACACGAGCACGTACACAACCCCACCGCCATCGTACTACCGTGCTTGCCATCGTGAGTGCCCAACGCTCATGTTCGTAGGTAAATCCGATGGATGCCAACTGGTCAGGATAGGAACGGCAAGTGACCCTTGCTGGCCCAGCTTGTTTCGTTCAATCTGCAGGTTTCTCCATCGGTTTTACCTGGTATAGACATGTAAAGACAGGGAACCTCCTTACAGGGAGGGGGAGCTCTATAGCAGATGCCTTAGCTAAATAAAACCACAGTAGTCTCCTGAAAAATAGCAGAATTACACCAGTGATACTGTTATTGTTCTCCAGTCAATTTATTTTGTCTCCAAAGGACTCCAATTAAGAGCTCTTAATTGCAGTCTGTGCAAATAACTGTGTGTAAGTGGACGGGGGGGGAGGGGATGTTGGGGTGGGAGGGGGGGAGGGGGGTTGGTGTATGTGTACTGTTTCATATATATATATATATCTATATGTGTGTAACAACAGAGATGTGTAAATGCGCCCATGCATTCACACATTTAGGGAACATGGGCACAGGTTGGGTCGGAGGCCATTTTGCCTCCGATTGTTCTTCCTTGTGGTTCTCGGCTCTCACAGTTGCTTAGCAGCAGATGGCCCTCATTGGATATTTGTGCTGTCTCGTAGAGTATCACTGGAAAAACAGGAGACACAGGGACTCACCTACTCATGTCTCTTTCATTAAATATATGCTCTTGCACTTGCAAATGTATCAAATTAACAAATGTACACAGCAGACCAAATACATACATGCTCTATAGTCACCTAATATAGCAGAAGTCTATCGGTGAACTTTTGAAACCCAAGTGCCTCGGAGTTTAAATTTACTGACTTCAAACCTTTTCATCTCTGCCTGAACTATAATGTGTTTCAGGGAATATCAAATAAAACCTGGACCAATACAGTCCAACTGTAATTGGCTGTTGTCTATGGAGCTCTCTCAACCCAGGCCCCAACCCCTCACCCTGTCCCCTTCCTGGAGGTTCAGGCACACCACACTTTATCAGGGACACATCCCTTTCTCATCCTCTCATCCTGACTGGCTCTTTACAGAGACTGCTGCGCATGGATCTGCCAGTTGCCGATGACAACACAGTGCATTTTAACTCCACCCTCATGGCTCTAATCAGGACAGCTCTGGATATAAAGATTGCCAAGGGTATGATCATAAAGCACTATCAAACCTTTACTCTATCAGTTCTGGGCGTATTGTCTCATCTCTCAATTTCTGTCTGTTTCTCTTCAACAAAAAACGATTATTGTAACAAATGTGACAAAAGTCTGCCAATTAAGACACTAACAAATTATGTTTTTGTTTTGGATGAATGTGTACATGGGTGAATGGATAATTATATTTGTTTTGGGATTTAATGTCATTGTGCCTCCCTTTTGGTGTGGACCTTCTTGACCTGTGTCAATGTGTGTGGGCTTTTTGGATATATTTGGATGTGTGTATGTGTGATGTTTGTGTGTACAAATGTTTGACGTGTGTGTGTGTGTGTGGAAACTCTGGGTCACTGGTTGCCCAGGCGGTGCAGACAAGCACCAGATGGATGCGGAGCTGAGAAAGGAGATGATGGCTATTTGGCCGAACTTATCGCAGAAGACACTGGACTTGCTGGTTACACCGCACAAGGGTAAGTTGCAGGAAAACAGCACATAGTGGTGTGTGTGTCCGATCACCAACTCACCAAGAGGACAGCTTCTACCAGTCAGTGTCATTCACTGCTTTGCATCTCCTGATCAGACTAACACAACATAAACACACAATCCTGTACATACACACATGCAAACACCCACTAATGTCGATACTGCGCATCCTTCCTCCCAATACTGTGGTCCTGCTGGCCAGATTAATCACAATTTACAATCAGATGGGATTTTTAATGGATTCTTGTGACTCCCTTGCTCATTGTGTAGCACTGCCATTAGGTCGGAGTTCCCTTTTGATTACATTATGTCAGGAAGTATATGTCTGTGTATACTTTGTCGTCCAGGTCATGGTATTCCAAAGTGGCTTCCCCAAGTTCTAACTGACTGGTGGGGGTCTCAGACATTTATTCGTACCACAAATCACATGCCTCTAAGTGTTAGTGGCAATGAAACTTGTTGGGATCTCAGGCCTGCATTATAAGTACATATGAAACGGTGTCACAGACTCCCTTTTCTGTTTAGAGGTGGGTGTTCCAGTTTAACATCACTGGCTTCCTTCACTCTTCTCTCAGACCATCTGTACTCTCTCCCCAGAATGTGGACACTTTTGTCCTCAAATTCTTTAGAGGAGTTTCAAAACTATTCACACCTTGAAACGTGTGAGTCATGTGTCAATTCAATGCTATGAGCCATGTCCTTTAAGGGGAAGAATAAATACCTGGGACTCTGCGCCACTCTATGAGAACTAAGGAAGCCTCTTGGATGACCGGTGCAACTTCTTTAGGAACCAAAAAAAAGAAAGGTCCAATTACCTTCTAATGACAAGCTTTAGATAAGTAGAAATATAACGACCAAGATCTCTTTCTTGCTGCAGGTATTCCTGGTCTCCAGAACATAAACTCAAGTGGTTTTAGTGACCCCTCAACTCTTTCTATGTTTTTCCTATCAAGGCTCTTTAGTACGTTATTGTTCCCAGCCTGATGGACCCCCATTGGCAAAAGGGTTTCCCTTTTTGTCTTAACATCCATCATCCCAAATTTTAATATTTGGATGAGTTGAAACATTTATACTGGATTTTTTCTGAAATTTGATATAGAAGGATAGTTTTTAAGTTCAAATGGATATGTCTATATGATTGATTAAAGTAGTTCTGTATCATTTGTGTTCTGATAAACATTCCATGCAAATATATATGTTACAACTCGACGGCCTAGGATCAGATAGGAGTAACAACAAAACAGCAGATAGATGCTGTCTACCAGAGTCTTAGTAGTGATTATTTGAAAGAAGGGTACATTTATTACAGCTCAGCATCAAAGGGTTAAATGAAAAATGGGTGCTACTTTCATAAAAGAAATAAATGTAACCAAAAGCAAACATCTTCCTGAAGCTGAATTGTTTTCGCTATCTAACATCCAAAAACAAAATAACCACAAAACCAAAGGACAAACCCTAACTATTCTAGTCCAAACCGAAATACAAACAAAGAAGCCCCCTTAAATTAAGACTAACAGTGGTTTACTACTTCCAAGAGTCCCTATCTAAGCCTTCACCCTTCACACAACAACTCATCTAGTACTTGTAGTAAGATATTCAAAGTTGAAGCTCACAGGGGAACCCTCAGCTTCTCACTGAAACAAATAAGCCGCCGCCAAAGTCAAATTCACATCTTGATTGGAGGCTGTAGTATGATCTGCTCCAATCCACCTTAGGCTCTAGAGAGAGTAGGCGGGACAAGACAACGGAGGCCAGGAGGACGAGGGTGCCATAATGGGGCTTCCAGCTGTTTACAACACAGGTCACTACAACAGAAGGGAGGGAGGAGTGCAGCAGTCCAGGGCCGTCACATCACACCACACACATAGTCACATTCATATATTAACTGTATCAGAGTGGACACACTAACAAACTCCCACAGTGCTAATCTCTCCACCCATTCAGTCAGTCCTGGTATCAGGGGGTGCCTGCTATAGAAGATCCTCTATAGAAGTCTTTTCACTACAGGAACAGTTTAGAACCAAATAAAGTACTAAGATACATCTTGGTTAATAAACTCATGAGTGTTATGAATGACTATTTTAAGGTAAATCTGTTTTGAGTAACCCTAAACTAATAGGGTTATGCATGTTTAGCAATAACTTGAAGTTGTTCGGCTAAGTGCATGGCAGCAAATACGGCATAAGATATGCGTTGTCATGTCTTGTTGCCCAGTAATATATTTAGAGAATAAGATATGTGTAGTCATATCTTATGACACGCGAATATCAGTTTGAATGCTGGAAGACTTGTAGCCATGCCACTTTGAAAAGGGCACCGCTCATTCAGAAAGAAAATTAGTGAAGTTATATGTCAAAACAAAGCTCAGTATTTTTCTGATTTAAATGTTTATATGTTCCATCCAAACTCTGGGGATACATGTCCAGAGTTTTTAGAAAAACATTGAGCTCCTGTTTTCTTGGGATCGTTTCACTTGGGTGTCCACGTGTTTCTTAGTGAGGTGGCTGCCTAGTCCTGAGCTTTGACATTAAGAGGAAGTATGAAATACACTGTAGTTTTTATTTGATAAGGTGATGGTGAAGTAACATGAAAATGTTAACTGATTACAGCCTCTGCCTGTGAAAAGACAACAAGCTTTGTTGTGTTAATGATTGTACAGTGTTGTATTTGTCTGTTGTACACCAGCAAGTAAACACAGCTGTGCTTCAGTTACGAGAGTATTTAGACAGTGGTTACCAATGATCTTTCATCACATCATAAGGACATGCTATTTACTGCTTTGTAAATATTTTACAAAGTGATAATAGTCTGTTCATATGACACGTTTTGAATGCCTTGTCAAACACCCCAGATTGGGAAAAATCCACTTGTCTTGGAGGTGACTCTAGAATCTACCCACCACACTTGGAGTGCTTGGAAACATATCAGCAACAAACAAGCAGATTCTTTCCTTCATTTTGTCCCGTGAACATAATGTTACAGCTAATTAGAAATGTTTTCCACATGAGCTTTTTAGATTGTAGGTGAAAAGGCAGTTTACATAGATTACTTATCTAGATTCAAATTTGCCTTCATGAGCGAGGAAGAAGTAATGATGCTGGAACATTTGACAACATTTTTGCTCAACATTATTAATATTGGTTACCACTGACTAAATATACTGAGACTGAACCTCTGTCAACTGAAGATAGAAACAATTGAACCTACAAAAATGCAAAACAGAACATTTACTGATAATTCTTGATAATTTATTTTTTAAGTTTCAAAATTTCGGCCTGTGCCTCAGTGGCTGCTACATAATACAGTTGTTCTAACTGCTGGTGTGTTCTGCATGCTGTTGTGTATTTCTCTGTCAGTGTTTGTTGTGTTGTCCCCCACTCCCATTCCCCCCACGGCTCAGGGTCCCATCTCACTCGGGTCTAATCTTCCAGGGTAACTTGTCATTTTCTCAGCAGCCACAGACTTGACGGTGGGCAAAATCTACGCTGCCATGATGATCATGGAATACTACCGGCAGAGCAAGACGAAAAAGCTTCAGGCCCTGCGAGAGGAACAGGTAGACGCCATCCCAGAAAAATTCCCTGAACGCAAAAAGACTTTTTTCTTTCATTTTTCTGTTCTTCCTTCTTTTGGTCCTCTTTTTTGATTCCACTTCCACGAGCCCCTTGGACTGAATTTTGCCTTTCTTCTGCTAAATATGGATTTAAAAGCATAAGAATCACATCTTATACATTTAAATCCTATATAAAATCCCAGCTACACTTCCAAACAAACCTCACGTCCTTCTCAGCCTGTGCTTAATCCTCTTAGCATGCTACCAGAAAATCTGCATTCTCTACATAGCACCTTTTTGCTCCCTTGGCCAGCCTTGTTCCTTTACCGTGCTTCCTAAGAGGTATCTAGCTGTTTGCTTCTTCTCGCTAGTTAACAGCCTTTTCCTCCCACTGCTTCGAGTGTTCTCTTTCTTTTCACCGTGGGCCATTTGAACGCGGTGAGGAGGGTCAGGTGTTATGAAGGTTTACCTCCGGTTTTTGTTGTTGACAATGTTCTGAACAACAATGTTGATGATACCACATGGCCTTACTTTTTGTTCCTTGTCAGTGCTCTTCCCCTCCTGTCGATGAATGCTTTTGAGATGCACTCGCTCCCGCCGTCTGTGTATTTTCAGTCCACGCCGTGGACACGTGGAAACATCTCTCCACTCGTGTAATGCCTCCTGTTCACCCTTAAATTTAACATGGTTCAACCAAGTTTAAATTTGCTCAGGGAATGGGGGTCAGTCTCATCCATATTGAATGGGATGCACTTCTTGAGGTAGGATTTCCATTTTGTGGAAGAAAGGAGTACATTGGTGAATGGAGAGTATGTTAGGTCCTTTTTTTCCTGCAAACAGTATGCTGTAGCAAATACAATATGTGTTGCTATGTTCCTGAATGCAGCTATCCCATTGGAGTGAATGGACAGTTCCACACAGGCTCTCTCAACATCAGCAGTGCATAAGGGCTTTAACCAGTCTGTGTGTATATCTGTTTGCCCCCTCATCTCTACATTATCTCACTTCATTTTCTTTTTTTTTTCTACTGCAGTCTTTGTTTTTTATAATACCAAACTGCTTTAAAGGAAGAATCCACCCAAAACATCAGTGCACTGCCATGACGGCCTTTATTGTTTATGTATTTGATGATTTGTCCTTTTATCTTATGGGTAAGAAAGGTCCATGTCCTGTTTCATTTCAGTCAAGTTCAGTTTTATTTAGATAGCAGCACAAATTCACAACATAAGTCATCTCAAGGCACTTGACATAGTACGATTACAATATGAACAATATGTTACTAAATCTTTTGGGACAGCAGGAAGCAACAACTCCCTTTTAACAGGAAGAAACCTCGAGCAGAACCAGGCTCAGTGAGGACGGCCATCTGCCTCAACTGGTTGGGGTGAGGGAAAAGGGGAGGGAGAAAAAGATAGCAGACGGAGAACAGATAAACAACACGTAGGAGAACAATAAACAGTATTGAGGTTTGTGAGGCCAGAAATAGCAGATCAGAAACATAGAGATAGACAGAGAGGACAAAACATCAAGTGAAGGAGTGAGAAATGTATGGAGAGTGAAAGAGAGGATATCAGAGCAGAGGAGAGGTGCTCAGTGCATAGCAAGATAAGTTAGAGAGGGTTCAGGGTCAACTATCAGCTTTATCAAAAAGAAAATCTCAAAAGTAGAGAGGTTGCCTGCCTCCTGAACCCAAACTGGGAGCTGATTCCACAAGAGAGCAGAATGATCGCTAAAGGCTCTGCCTCCTGTAATGCTTTTAGAAACTGTACAAGTAAACGTGCAGTCTGAAAGCCAAGTGCTGTATTAGAATAGCATGACACAATAATGTCTCTGAGATACAGTTTGTTCACTGGAGTTTGGTTTGTGAGGAGAAGGACTTTGAATTATTTTCTTGTTTTGACATGAAGATAAGCAAATATAGGGGACATATGATCTCTGTTAGTGCTTCCTATCAGATCTCTGGCTGCAGCATTTTGGATCAACTAGAGATGTTTCAGAGCGTTATATGGACATCCTGATAGTAAGATACAGTCCAGTCTGTAAGTAACAAATACAAATAAAGAGAGCTTGACAGTAGAGCTGCAATGGAGTTTAGTAGCAGAGTGTTTCTCTTTATTGAAAATATCAGGTTGTAAAAAAGGACAACTTTACAGAAATGAGCCATCCTACAGGAAAAATACATGATACAATAGACAGAAAACTCTATACGGAAATAAGTAAATGCAGTAATAACACGTGTATGAGTTTTGAATAAAGATATAGTTTGGATCATAGACGTCACATAGTATATATAGCCTGTTGTATCTATAGGCCCACAAGCTCACATTTGATTTAAAGTACAGACGGTAACTGACCTATCTGTATTAAGAGGACTTTATATTATGGTTTTGGTTCTTATTTCTATAAAGTCCTAATAACCAGAACTAACAGTAAACATGGTGTATCTGCTTTGCGCCACCCATGTGGATTTCACATGACAGCCTTTCATGTGTCATGGCAGAAAATGAAGGAAGCAATATTTTGACACACATTCAGGTCAAAGCAACTATCTGTGTCAGTTTTTTCGTATTGATATTCCCAAAATGAAAGCAAAAAGGCAACTTAATAAAACTTAGGAACAATAGAAAAATACCACAGAAACAGAAAATCCCCCAAAAATAAATCAGTGGGTGGATTTTTTCTTTAACACCTCATTTGTTGTGCTCGCCTCTCTTTCCCTTCATCCGTCCTCCTCCTGCATATTCCTCACGCCAAGTCTCAACTGTCTTCTTGTATGTTTGTTGTTATTGTGTTTCCAATACTTTGCTGTTTCATCTTTGTCTGCTGTTTGACATTCTCCTGTTTTTTTCACTGTCCTGTTTTGGAGTCTGTTTGTCTGTAGTCCCTTGTACCTGTCTTCCATGCCGCCCTCTGTTCTTCTGAAGCTCTCCGTTTGTCCTTCAAGGAAGAGAGATGAGACCTTGACCTGTCAAGCTCTCCCTATTTGGTCAATCAAGGTTGATTGTCACCAAGTTTCTCTAACCAAGACCCGATCTCTTCAGTCTGTGCGCTTATGAATCTGTCTGCTTTCCTGTCCATCTGGTGGGATGTTGAGTGGCGATTCCTGTGACCAGGGGCTCCCTATGTAAACAGTTAATCCTGGGACCATTCATTCATACATATTCCACTGCTGAAAGATACTCCATTAGAGCCTGTGTCAATGTTAGGTGTTCAGTGTTCATGTTTTTGCCATAATCCATCTAAATGTTTGTACCATGAATTTTATAAAGATGCACCACTGGCTCCAACCAGTGCCAGGCCAGAATGTCTGGAGACAAATTTGAGCCATTTCTCTCCTCGGCACTGGTGATGACAACTGGACCGAATTAGACAACTTGTGACTTCTTAAACCTGTGCTGTCTATGATCATTTGTGTCAAATGTTCATGGTAGGAAATAGAAAAAAAATTCAGTTAAATAGAAGTCAATCGTCAGTGTGATTTTCTCTGCGTTTTTGACAAGGAATTGGCATCTCATACACGTACGACTGGCACCAATTTGTTTTTGTGCTGGGATGCTACCAGCTTTTTAGCCAGTTAACCAAAGCTAACCATCACGAATGATGCACACTGTAGCCAGACAAGCTTCCTGTCCAACATGTTAGCAGAAATATCTTGAATAGTCTGCACTCATTTAACTTTCAAGCCTCAGCTTCCAGGCTGTGGAGAGACATGACACGGTCTATAGTAGTCATGAACCGTCATCAATCAGCCACTTCTGAGAGGACTCTATTAAACAGGATCCCCTGGGAAAACTGCTTGACCTGTGACCTGTCTGATGGAAACAGAAGTTGCTTTTTATTACAATTGGTTCAGGGTCAGACGTCTACTTCCCACAGAATGGCATGTTATTCAGAAAGTCTTGGCAGATGAAAGATCACACAAATTGTCAAAATGTGATTTATGTGTAAAATGTCTCTTTAGTGATGTGTTCCATTAGTATGGTAATCTGGTCCAAGACTTGTGATTTAAGAGCAATCGTACCTCAAATTCCGAAGGTAGAAGTTCCCCTCTGACACAGATCTGAGATCAGCTTCACCCCCCCTGAGCATCAGCTAATATGTTGGAAAAGGCCAACGCACTTTAAAGTCAGCGATTTCCACGTTCAGGGTGGCAAGCAGACTCCAGATCAGTAGTCTGGCAGGGAACTTTACCTTGGATACCCACAGCCATGTGCTTGCTGATGGCGCCCCCGTGTGGGTGCATGCTGCGAGTGCATCCTGTGTTTGTGTCCTGTGTCTGCCCCCCTGAGTGTGCCTGATGCAAGCCTGCAGGCCATGTCATGTATCTCACACAGAACCGAACGCCATTAATGTTTCAGCGCATGGAGCCGCCCTCTGAGGGAGGGGGCACGGACGGCCAGGGGGGGCAGGGCCAGAACGGCCTCCCCAGCACCCAGCCGGACAACGTCAACAGCATGTGAGTCAGATGGGGAATGAAGGCAACCTGTGTGTGCTTAATTGAAATACTTGAGACAGTACATTTTGACTGTTACATTTCCAGCAGAGTACAGCAAACAGTGTATACATATTTTACATGTACACGCTGTACAGTTTTTCAGTTTTCACACTTTATCAGATTTGTAGGAGAATAGTTTTTTTCTCAAAGGACAGTGTATTTTAATTATTTGCAATCATGTTGGATCATAAATACTAAATTTGACTTGTTAATAGTCACTGCAGAAGGAGGTATTGTCACCTCCCACCAGTTCATCCTCAGTACTTCAGTAGAATCTGTTGTTTGTTTTAGTTTAAATGCATTTCTTTTCCCTTCAACTCACCAAAATGACCTTCACAATCATCAACTCCAACAGTTTTCCACAGCCAGTGAGGCACAGGCCGAAATTTTGAAACTTAAAAAATAAATAATCAAGAATCAAAAATAACTTAAATGTAACTGTGTTGAGAAGTCACACCAGAGTTGCAGTCACTTTAAATAAACCCACATGGAGATCTTTAAAGTTCAGTTGTTTCATCCAAATTACAGACTCACCTATTTGCTAAATCCTCCTCAGCTTTGTATGAACACCAGTTTTGTGGGCAGAGAAAATGTACTTACTGATTTGAAGTGCTGGGGCGCTACTTTTAGTACACACATGGCTGTCTTTCTGGCAATATTTGGAATCTCAATCGTATTCAGAAGTATGCTTTAGATTTTAATAAATACTTTAAAAGCTCTTCTTGCACAATGAAACTCCTTTGCACAGAAAATGAACACTACTTTAGAAACTATTTTTAGATTTTACTTTTTTTACATTAAACCCACTACTTAGTTGTTCAAAGACTCTGCCAGAGAATTGGTCAGCTTTGAATTTCTCGTTGACCTTCCTGATTTGTAATCCTGCTTGTGTGTGTGTGGGTGCCAGACCTCCTGAGGGTGGCATGACTGAGAGCCAGTCGTGGATGACAACTAAAGCCCAGGAAATGTTCCAAAAGACGGGTAACTGGAGCCCTGACAGACCCTACCCTGACGACCTCCACGACAACCGCCACAACCCCCAGGTATGATGAGCCTGAGCATGCACGTCGTCACCGTGGTGACACATCAGCCTAAGTGCAACCAGTTCGTCCGCCGTGGTAAATACACTGGTTACATATTGGTCTCGTGACAGTAGCTGAGTATAATTAGGAAGAAGTAATAAAGATGCTGGTAGGGAACACTGCTCAGGATTCCTGCTGTTGCAACAGATATATTAAAAACCTCTCTAAAGCATCATACTTACTACACATTAACCACATGTAAACTAATTTTATTCAAGTCATGAAAGAGTCATCAGTGGGAAAACTGCAATCTTCCCCTTGTTAAACACGCTGCCACTGTAGCTACTTATTGTAATAATATTACTATTTCCTATGCATTTAGGAAGTACAACTTAACTAAATTAAGTTCACCAACTGATTTTAGATGTGTTTCGTCACTGAAAAAAACCTTTCGTTCAGCTGTTCCACAGAAAATTAAGACAAATTAATGCCAGTGTTGCACGGTGAGTGACTGAATGAAAAGCAAAACCTTCTGATTATTTTGTTTTGCTTTTTCGGGTGTTTTATTTGGAAATATCTTTTCTGATTCATATCTAAACACACAAATGGTTTAATGGGCATCTCAGGGACAGAGTTGATAAAAACATGAGAAATTACCAAACCTGAATTCAGTTCCCTGGAGCAGTTTTTCTGAACTCCACCTTAATGCCCTGTTCGAGCGTCCTTGTGGTAAAAACAGAACTATCCGTCCTTAATCCACTCCATCACTCCTGGCATCAAGTTCTCAGCAGCCTCAAATGAACGAGTCTCTACCTTTTCAGTATTTGAAGTGCTGGATGTTGCTGCCATCTCTCCAGCAGACAAGACTGCTGTCTGTCCCTGTCCTCTTTTCTTCTTCAAACCTATTTATCTTTCTCTTTCGCTTCATCTACCTGCTCTAAGTCCTCGTTTCCTGTATTCTCTTAGTCTAATCATCCTCCTATTCCTTGAGTTTTCCTGTTCACTCTTCAACCTCCTCCTGAGTCAGTGGCTTGGACTTGTAGATGTGTTTTGTGATGTACACCTTTTCCTGTTCACTGCCCCTTACTTTCGCTTGTCTGTTGGGACACCCCTACTCCCCAGAGCCTATTCTCTCTATTCAATCCCATGACGAATGTACAAAAATGAAATGTGGATTTGAAATTGTGCTATGTACTCATAGGAAAGAAAAATTTAAAATACTTTTGAGATTTTCTGCCCCAGTTTTAGACCTGTGTGTTGGCAGAAAAGGTTCCAATGAAGCAGTGTCTCCAAAGAAGCTTTTCCAGAAGTCAAGGTTTGGATTTGTGCCACAATCCATGACACAGGGCCACTTCAGAGCAGCATTATACATTAACCCACAATCGGATGATAGGCAATGTGGTTTTAAAGATCATAAACAGATATAATCAAATCAACACCCATGTCATCTTAATGTTCATGCTCATTTGACAAATGAGCATGTGAACAAAGGTTGCAACAGTTAATTTATGCAACTTGGTGTTGCATAAATGACAACAGAATTGTAGTCGTTGACCCCACGCCCTGTCAGAGTCCACTCCCTCAGCAGACAGTGGTCACGCCCCCCTCTCATTGTGTTTTACAGACGGTAGAGATGAGGGAGATGGGGCGGGACGGGTACTCCGACACTGAGCCCTATCACCCAATGGATGGGCATGGGCGGACCCTCTCCATGCCCCGCCTCTCGGCAGACAACCAAGTGAGCACCTTCATCCCACCATCATCGTTGTCACCCATCATCCCATCGTTACTCTCCATTCTTATACCTGTTAGCTGTGACGACAGTTGAAGTGAATTGAAAAAGTCTCTTCTTGCATCCTGAAAAGATTAATCTGAAATTGGCCAAAACCTTATTTTTCAAAAAAGACGTCTTGTCAACATATTGTATATTTACAGATTTTTCAAAATGAGTTTTTCTGTCTATACGTAATCAATCACAATGAGTTTGAAATACGCTTATTTATTTCTGTTATTCTATCACATATTTCTTTCCAGTATTTCTGTCATTTTAATATTGTTTTTAAACACAAATGTGTTCTATTACGGATGTTCTTTTGCCCCAAATCACATCTGACTCACTTAATATCTAGTATTGGCCAAGTTCCTATCTGTTAGCATTTTTTTTAGATAATAAACACTTAATGTGACCTCCAGCCAGACTTGTGTTTAAGACAAGCCAGGACTGATTAGGACAGCTGTCCTTTATTGTAGTGACATAAGTAATACAGTCACCTTGGTAGCCCATATCAAGTGTTAAAATAAAAGAACCATTTTTAATACAGGATAAATGTCCAGAGGTTCTTACAGATGCTGACTAAAAAACAGCTTGATTCACTCAAGTCCTGATTTTTGAGATCAGATTTTGACATCCTTACATTATCCTACTGTTTTTCATGAATCTGCACTATTTACCATAGTACTACTAGCACACTTTTTACACAAAATAGTTTTTAATTCATTTATATAATATCTATTTAGTACTAGTTTATTTAGTGTGTATTTAAAAAAACAAATTCAAACTTTTACATTTTTTTGAAGAAAAAAAAATGAAGGAGACTTATGTAAATTCACTTTGTTCTGTCTGGTTTCCCAGTTTGTCTTCCCTCCCCCTCTCCCACCATCCCTCCACCCACACTGCCTCCCTGTCACCCCCCCACTCCTCCAGCAGCTGACCCACCTCTGCTCAGCTCCAGGTGATTTCCTCTCTTTGCAACACAGCACAAACTGCAATTCTAGCAACAGAGCAGAGTCCAAAGTGGGTCTGAAGGCTGGATAAGTGTCCTAGATATGTATACAAATATATATCTAGAAGACCTATGTGTATAGAATAGCTGCTCCCTTCCCGATCCCGTTCCCTCCTCCATTTCCATTAAATCCTTGGTGTGTCTGTCCTGTGTGAACTGTGGCCAGAGTTACTGTCACTCTACAGCAACGAAAATGCGACCAACTCAGTAGGAGCTTTCATAAGTGTTTCTGCGTGTTTAAAGGCAAACAAAGCACATGGTGGACAAAATGAGCAACTTCATTAGAAAAGTAAAAGTTACCTGAAATGTTGGTTGCCACTTTATTACTTTCTGAAACAGGATGACTTGTATGATGAGTCAAATGCATCACTGTGTTGAACAAGACAAGTGAAACTGCTGTGTTTGTATGTATGTGTGTGTGTGTGAGAGAGAGACAGAGGGGGGTGGGAGAAGTTTGTTAACTGTCAAACTGTTGATTTAGTACAAAACAGGTGCAATCAATCTGCAACTTACCTTTTAGAGAGTTTGTGCAGCGACAGATTTGAGTAAAATAAGCTTCACACATAAAATTTGCATCCTGACTTGGTGCACAAATCTTTCCAACCTGAGAGCTTTTCCAGCACTTGAGAATATCAGACATGATTCCTAACCATATTTGGCTCACAACACTTTACAGGTAGCATCTAAGCCATCTTTACCGTTGACCATCATTGCAAGAAAGGTGATCCAATGTGTTTGTTTGTTTAATAGAAGGCAGGAACCAAAAAGACGATCCCGTAAACTCGCACATTGTATTGATCATTTTAACACATTTTCTACGCTGGACTGGTAGACTCGCTTATTTTGAAGCCTCTGGCTGCAGTTATACACACAATCACATGCACATCCATGCACACAGGCATGGCCATACATCAAGTCATGTTGCTCTCACTTTGGTATGTTGGTTCCTTCATTAAGTGTTTCTGTATAAGCATTAAGAGTAAACGAAGGCGAGTAAATAAGATGATTGTGGTTGTGAAGAATAGCAGAAGTGTGAAGAGAAGGTGTCAGTTTAATTTACTGTGACTTGTAGTATTTGAAGTTTGTCACATTTTGGTCAAATTAATGGTAGACTCTGTAGATTTGATTTTGTTAGTGTGACAGAAAAGTTGTGCAACCAATTAAAATATATTTAGCTTAAATGAAAGCTGACAGTTAGCACCTTGCTGTCATACTGTAGTTACAGTTTATATGTGATATGCTGGATCACAGAATCGACATAACAAAAAAGACGTTTGCCCTCCAATTACAGATTACAGCTTGGATTTATCTGAACTGAGTCTTCTCTTTTCAAGTGACAGTTCTCTCACTCCTCTTTTTGTTTGGGCAGGCTCCAACCTTCTCCATGCTTATTAAAAAACACACTATCTGACCCGATGCCTGTAGTTTTGAACATGCTATTCCTGGAAAACACAGTTCAACTTTTAAAGTAAATATAATCAATTTTAAAGTAATTTAGTATGCTACTATAACTAGACCGTCACTTAAAATAACAAACGGCAGATTGTCGTGTGGAAAATTTCCTATGTGTGTATCTGTGTGTGTGTGTGTGTGTGTGTGTGTGCTGCGTAAACAGTATTCGTGCGTGTCTGTACACTGTTACTTACTGTCTTCTAACACTGCTCTGCCTTACAGAGAGCTCATGCTGTTTCGGTAAGTGTGTGTATGAGTGTGTGTGGATGTACATGCGTCTTATATTGTCCTCTGTCCTCTCTCGCTCACTGGCACACACACACACACACCTCGCTCTTATGTGTGTGCACTGGTCTTTAAATTAACCGACTCTTCTGTCTCTTTCTCCTGTCTTTGCACTCCTCTCCTCTCCCCATCGTTTATTCTTTATACCTCTTTTTTCAACATTTTTCTTCCCTTCCTTTACTTTTTACATGTCCCACATCGCTCTCGCTCCCCCTTTAACTGTTTCAACCCTCCCAAATGTGTTTCTAAAATAATCTCCTGCCCATCCTCCCACATCTTTGTCTTTGTTTCTCATTCCTTTATTTGTTCGTATCTCTTCCTCTGTCCTTTGCCTGTTTTCTCTTTCGGTCCTGGCGGCTATGCTACGTCGGGCCTTTGCTCTGTGTGTGTGTGTGCGTGTGTGTGTGTGTGTGTGTGCGTGCTACACTGCTCTGCTCTACGTATCATCTCTGTGTTTGCCTGCTCTGCAGCGGAGGAGACACAAGCCTCGCGGAAATAACCTCAGTGTATGTACCTCTCTCTCTCTCTCTCTCTCTCTGTCTTTCTCTGTCTCCCTTCTACCTTGATTTTTCTGTCTCTCTGTCAGTCAGTTGTCAAACTGGATCTGGCTCAAAGTGTAGTTTGCTGGTTATTTTGCCCACCCTTGAGTGCCATATGGTTGGGTTTGAACCAGAGTGGGACAGTTCAGATGGCGTTATTTGAGTTGCTCATTGTGAAATAAAGGAGGAGTAAATGCTGCACATCCACGTTGTTTAAATCCCATTGAGGAAAACAAGTTTGCTTTCTTTCAGGTTTTTTTTTTGTTTTTTTTTAACAGGTTGGGTCAGTTTGTGTCACTTCAGACAGAATTCAGGAAATATGGCTCATCATACTTGGCGCATATCAAATTCTTTGGATGTTAGAGACCTCAAAAGATGGTAAAATGTCAACCAAAAACTGTCATTTCAGTAGGAGCTATGGATGCTGTAATTTCATATTATATGGTTGATTATCAGCGTCAACATTTTGGCCTTTTGTTGGTGTTGGACAGTGCTGCCACTTCTCTCTATCTGTAGTCACTCTGATTCTCCAGCAGAGACACAATCTGCAAAAACTGAACAGGAAACACAAACACAGGAATTAGCACCTTTCACATGGGCTAAGTTAGGAGGTAGCTACAGATAACCCGGAAACAGTGTCTGAAAAATAACATGGCTTTACGACATGGACCGTAGTAGGCAATGAAAGTGAGCTAACAGTAAACTGTTGACAAAACTCAGAAGAAAAGCAGACGTAACTGAGGCGGGCGAACTGTTTAATCTCAATCAGTTGATCTCACTGTAAACAGAGGAGCGTGTCCTGGCAGCCTGTGGTGCTCTGACGGCATCATTCCTATTGCTTGCGTGCATATTCAGTTCTAGTAATCCTTCATAATAAAGAAATGTGGTTATTAATGACAGGTTTCCTGCTGTATCAGTTCCAAATATCACTCACCGGTTTTTCTTGGTTGCGAATAATCGGCATGAGTATCGGCCCTGACAAACCCATATCGGTTGATCCCTACTTCAAATGGCTTCCCATGTAAAATACTGATAAAAATTAAAAAGATTGCCCGAGGGAGCACCTGTGCCCACGGCCTAGCAGGGTTTCCGGCACCACCCGATGGAAGCAGAACTCGGATCTTTGTGTACAAAAACAATAAAGTGTGAAAAAAAAAAAAAAAATTTAAAAAGATTCCCAGGTATGAAAACGACATCTTCCAAATTCTGCCGAAATATTTTCAGAAATCATTATTTTTTTGACCCTAAGAACACAATCTGAGATGTTGCAGCAGCGTTTCTATCTGAAAAGTCACAGACTGACCTGGTTGTCAAAATTATTTCAGGGGACAAATGTCTGTGTTTTGTTTGGACATTTTCTGTTTGTTTTGCATTACATATTGGATCAGAACGGCTTTTATGGTTTGTGTTAACATGAAAAACTGCACCTTAAAAAAAAGATGCCTCTTTCCCTTTTTCCATAATGCGGATGCAGTTAAACCCACCCACCTGGCACTCCAAACTCTTTCAGTCAACCGTGACCTAACTGTCACTCTTCAGATCTACTTTGACTACCTCTCCCTTTTCCTATCTTCCTATTCTGTCGGTTTTTGTTTGAACTGTCCAGTCTCTCTTTCTTCCTCTCCCGTATTTGCTCGTGTTGAGGTCGCTCTGCTCTCCATTTGTTTGCTCTCTGTGGCAACTTTCCCCGGAGTTCTGCTCGTATGCAGCGTCTGTGTGTTTTCCTCTGTGCGTGTGCGTGTGTGTGTGTGTGCGTGTGTGTGTGCATTACATGTGCCTTTGAATCTGTTGCATCACTGCAGACCAGGTCAACAGAGTATGACGAAAGCATGGACTGCCCTGATATGCGACTGTTTGCCTGTACCGGGGACTGGCAGTGCGCCGGCATGTCGTTAGTCGTGCATGCCGTGGCAGAGTCTCACAGTGGACGTGAGAGGACGTGGTGTGCCAACAGGGCAAAGTGTGGCTTTAACCAAAGGCTGTCATTCAGGAGCTTGAATAGTGGAATGAGAGATGGACAAAAGCAGAGTGTGGTGCTCATGAAGTGGCCATGTTATGTTCAGCATTTCTGTCTGTCTTAAGTTGGGTGACGTTATTGTTTGTAACTTTACGATTCACACGTTACAACTGGGGATGTTATGTGAAAATAGATTCAGCCAACAGTGGACACAAATCACTTGGATTAAAACCTTACTGTGATTTTAGTCATTTCAGAGCATAGTTGATCATGGAACTATTTTTCTATCTATTATTTTAAAAATGCACCAAATTACCTCAAATTAGAGTGTTTTTCAGTCTTTTTTTACCTATTTAATGAAAAACTAATTTCCTCCTCACATTGGAGTTAGTGATATAGCGTATATCTGACCAGTGACCATCTGTCTGACGAACCACTTGGTAGTAATCTGGCATGTTAACACAGCATATTGATTTGCACAAAGATAATGCTTGTGTAAAACTAAATTTATTGCATATGTATATATATTGTAGGCTGTAATTGTGTCTGGATTGCTAACAATGCAAACAGAAGAGCCAGTATCCTGCCAGTGTCGCTTATGCTGTTTGCTTGTTTTGTAGGTCTACCAATCCTAGATTCAGTCGATTACAACGTTTTCTTTCTTTTAGATTTTCTCGCTCAATCTCCAATGTGATCTGCTCCTTTTAAGTCATTCTTGTTTGATGACAACAATCAAATCAGGGGCAGAGAAACACAACCTCCAATTAGCATTTTGTCAGACACACTGACTTGTCAGACAATGGGCACACGTAGACCACTTCGGTAGGCTATAGCGTAGCTTACATGAAGATTCAATGTAGAAGTATAAATCAAAGCATGCTGGCTTTGCTCTTTGTTGTTGGCAAATAATGCAAAAGAGAATAAAACATTCTAAAAAAAAAATCCTCTCATTAACATTTTACTATCTTTTTTTTTTTTAGATCACAATCCAAGAAGTCATTTCTTGTTTGCGAAACACTACATTGTGAAATGTTACTACATCCCCACCTATGACACACAGAGCAGGGAGTCTTGTTTTCAGTCTAAGTGTTGAAACAAAATGTGTAAACTAGATATGTAGAGCGTCCATCCCTTTCAGTGTGCGTGTGTGTCGGCATATTCAGTGTATGCACATGTTTAGTCCTGCCGCCTACTTCGAGGACATGCATGGCTTGTGTTAGGCTGCTCAGGGAGCGTACAGACTGCTGTCTGTGTGTAGTGAAGCTCCTCTCAGGATCGTGAATCCTCCTCTATCTGTTGTTGTTCGACATGCTGCTTGCAGACTGACGTGTGCTTGATCAGTAGGGTGATGTGAAGCTTTGTGGGGGTTCACAGTGTCAGCCTGGTCGTGTCCTGGTCAGAAGAGCCTGACTATGAACCCACCAAGAAAATCAGACAGGACTGGTTTCAATATAAATATTCTATGTTAAATTGAAGCAGGAGCCAGTTCCTTTGCATGAGTTGCTGTGATTTGTTCTGTTTATTCGTCAGCTTCTTTGAAGCTTCGTTGGGTTCTGCAGAGCTTTTGACCAGGCTCTAAGGTTATGGAATCATAGTTTGTCTTATCCATTTGGTGTCCATATTTGATTTACATCATACTTAAGAAACCCTATGAATGCATTTAAAGGCCATCTTTAGAAGAAGAAAAAAAGAATTTAAATTTGCCATTGTTTTTGACTAACAGGGCAACAAAGATGTAAATTAGAAAGAAGAATCCTTGATGTTCAGGTCATATTCAGTGTTAGCAGTCAAATACTTTTATTGACATCCTGTTTCTCTCCAAACCACCTCCGTATAATGATCAGAACTAAGACCAGCAATGGGCTTTATATTCTTAATGCCTGTGTTATACATTCTGCATCTGCGAGAAGTCCTTGTAAATTTCATCATTTCGTTATTGTCCTAAGTTTGCGAGAATCCGTGCAGACACTTCCACACACGTCCTTGGACAGTCCACACCACGATTACGCTACAAGGACAATAGTGCATGTGCTTTGCACTAGTGTACATGCACAGAATACATAAATACAACCGTCTGGAATGGAGTCCTTCAGTTGGACTCCAGCAGACTAGAAAAGTAGTAGAATACTGACAATTATGCCTCCGTCGTTTCTGCAGCTGTCCATGCACGCGTTAGACTTAAGGACATGTCAGCTTTTCATGTCCACAAGGGTACGTGTGATGTACATTTTTTCATCCGCCCAAATCTGCGAAGTTCAACGAGGTCTTGTAAGGATTCAAGTGGACCCCTCTGCAGATACTCATATGCGCCCCAAAATTTGTGCACGCCCAGACTTTCTACATCAAAATTGCACCAATAAACAGTGTTCAAACCAAATGCTTATTATGAGGAAAGATAATCTTCATCATCCACACCTCTACAATTCATCATTAAAAGAGTTGTAATTGGAGTTGACATTGCCATCCTTTAGAGGTGCTTTAATTTATGCACACTCTCTATGAGCGGTGTCCAAACACAGTAGGAGATTCTGCATTCTCCATAAATGCTTTGGTATATCTGCCCACTGTGCTCAGCACCCCTCATGAATAATCACATTAATTCAGTGCTACAGCACAGTCTGTAAGTGACTGCTATGTTCTGTAAATAAGTGCCCAGCATTTCAGAAACAACCACAGGAGCCCCGCATGAATTTTTGTATTCAATATGACCCGCAGTACGACTGTCTGCTCAGCAGACCAACACAGACCTTCAGTAGTATGAATAGAACCGTTTTGTGTATCCGCTGTCCACTTTTAAAACCATGAACTGGCCTTTAGTGGTGCGTCTCTGACACAATATTAATGGCTTTTTGAGCCAGGTGACTCTAGTGTGCCATTTTAAAACAAACTATTTTTTACTAAAAATTATATTTAAAAAAAATATTATTGTTTTCAAAAATATCAGTAAAGGTTTTTTTTATTATTATTATTATTTGCTAATGCCAATAATGTGGATTACGTAGCTTTGTTCTTTGTGGTTCTGATGATATATAGCTAACATAACTTAGACACCTATCTGACATTCCAACCAGAGTATGATGTATACGAAATATGGCTGCCATTAGATGAAGTCTAGCAGGCTCTTCTGCCTTGTGCATGCTAGGCATGGTTTTCATGCTTGTTCTCTGTCTCTCTGCCCCTTTCTTTTCTTCCTGTCAGTTTGCTGTTTATCTCTCTGTATGTTTCATTTGTCCCTGTTTTAGTGAAGAAGCATGGTATCACATGCCATTACATACTTATCAAAGGTTTAGTAGTGAAGGATTCCTGGTGCTATGGGTCATGCTACATGAATGCCAATACCATGAGCTGATATGTGATTTAAGATGGGTCAAATGCCACTTGGAAATCATTTTAGTGATTTTAGATCAGATGAGTGGAGGTCACCACACAGGACAACACAGGAGCCAAACATTGGTATTATCACGGCAAAATACAACCTTTAAAAATCTGAGTTGTCCTAGTGTGCTAAACCACCACCCACCTAAATCAGGAGCTATTTGGTACTGTTGCTTGACTCATGTCTGTCGTCCAGTCATTCAGTATCACATACACACAAGAATGTGCAGCCTGACAGACATTCAACCACGTGCAGCTCTGAGCTGGTATACACTCAGAAACAGTCACAGTGAAAAGAGTGTCGTCCTTCTCACAGCCGAGGATGGACTCCAGCAGTCAGGATGCATTAAATCTCACTTGTTTTTTCCTCTCTTTCTTTCTTTCTTTCTTTCTCTCTTCCCCACTATTGTTTATCTCTTTTCTCCTCCTCTTATGACTTCCTCTCCTGCCTTGCGCTCTCTCTATCGTTCCCTCTCCCCTTTCTATGTTTCCTTCTATTTCCGCTGCCTCCTTCGTCCTCACAGACCATCACTGACACCAGCCCGATGCGTCGCTCCACCTCCAGCCTGGTCCATGGGCGCTCAGGTCGTGGTGTGAGGCTGGATGACTACTCCCTGGAGAGGGTGGTGTCTGAGGAGGGACGACACGGAGGAGGGCGCAGGCACAGGGACCGAAGTCACCGCACCTCACAGCGCTCCCTGACCAGATACACCGACGCAGACACGGGTGAGTTACCGGTTATCTACTGTTACTGCCAATCTTACATGGAACTGGCATCTGAGAGTCTTAAAGCTGTAAAAGCCTTAACTGTTACTTTAGAGTTCTGTTTACTTACTTTTTTCCTGTGATGGTCAGAATCATCTGTTTGATGCTTAAGTCCATGTCAAATACCGCTGAACTGTAATTGTACACATAGTCATAAGCTGGTGTTAAAATGAGCATGTAAAATGCATAATGGATCCAATTTAAATTAGGAAGCAGCATCTTGACATCACACGCTAAATGGTAGCGTGCCATGCTAACTATGGACAAGGATTGGCACTAAATGCATGCATAGTTTCATGCCAAACTTTAGCAGTTCCTTAAATGACCACTTGAGGCCGACTCCAAAAGCAAATCAATCCTCATAGACCTCCATGTTAAAATGCTCAACATTACAGCAGCAATAAACATGTTTACAGCCTGGTATAAAATAGACTTTGGGTCTCAATAGCTAATTTACCCATTTATGACAAGTGTGTGTGTGTGTGTGAGGTGAATTTTTATATAACTCGTTGTGTAAATATCAACAAGGCTGTGAGTGATAGGTGGGTGCCATCACAGGATACTGTGTTTGCATTGTCAACCTCAGCTCCGCTTATGCTCCATGTGGCCAGAGTCACCACAGTCAAGACTGTTAACAGGTTTTGTTAGTGAAGGTTAGCAAAGTGGAGCTCAGGCTGATTAAGGCTGAGTCGAGTCTGAAATGTTTAAACTGAATCTGATAAGTTGAATGTGAGATGAACAGAGAATTAACAGCGTTTTCATTTCTCACACACCACAGCAGTGCGATTTGCTGTTGGCACAATGTTTTTTCATAACACCCGTGGGGCTGCAAATTTTAGGTATTTTTGAAATTCTGCACATTCTGGTCCCTTAAGAACCGACGGGACTGAACACAAGGAAGCAGTTGCTGCTTTACAGCGCAGTCAAGAGTAACTCAGTGGCAGTTGTTGAGGCAATTAGGGACAATCTGTGTATTTATTGAGCTAAGAGAACAGCACATTTACAGATCATCATATTCACTCAATTTTATGTGAGTCAAGTCTTGGCACAAAGAAGTCCTTGAAAAGAGCATTGTGCAAGCACATAGCCCACTTCATCGCTAATTGCGAGTGCAAATTGCATGCTTCAGCTTTAAAACTAATCTAACAAGGCCGCCACAGTTAAACTCTCAAACCCTTTTATAATTGGAGTGGTCTCTTATCTGATGGCGAATCCTCTGCCACATGGACTCAGTAGTGGGGATGGTATTTGAAATTACTTTTTCCAAAGTCTGAATTTGACTGTATAGCTGCATTGACACATGGGCATTTAGGTTTTTTTCTTTTTTTTTTACATTTTTATTGTAACTTCCTTTTAATTGTGCTGTTTTAACAGTTTTAGCTTTTCAGTGAACATGTAGATAAAGAATTCTTGTGAATCAAGAATCTTTTGTCCACTCTAGCAACATGTAGGAGATGTTGGGATCTTCATCTGTATGTGTTCCCCTTGGGAAGCTAAATTAATCATTGGTTTTGCATTTTAAATTGAAAACCGGTGCATCTCTTTGCTAGGTCTGGGCACAGACCTCAGCACCACCACACAGTCAGGTGACTTGCCACCCAAGGAGCGCGAGCGAGACCGCGGCCGGACCAAGGACCGTCGTCACCACCACCATCACCATCATCACCACAGCTCTATGGACAAGGAGCGCTACGGCCCCGACCGCCACGAGTATCCCCACAGGCATCCTCATGACCGCCACTGGTCCCGGTCGCCCAGTGAGGGGCCTGATGGACGAGGTCCCAGACAGGTGGGCTTTAAAGACACCAAATTAATGACTAAGGTTATAATACATGAGGAACAGTTTCCCAATATTGTCTCACACTGTTTTTTTTCTCTGGTTCTGTCCTGTTGGTTTCCATATCTGTAGAGTGCCTTATTTAAAGGTTTTTTACCTCATCCAGGTGAAATATAAACCCTAATAGCCTTGAAGATATTTTCTGTTATCATTAGGGATATTTATGGGAAGACAATGTTACATGCGTCCTACTTAGTTACATTATGTGTAATGTGTTAGTATAATACGGCAAACTTTTGTAGGTACTTTTCAGATATTTGCTTGAAATCAAATAAGTTGTGTTTAATTTAGATTTTTGTATGTTTTGATCCCAGTACTCTTTTGATTTTTAAATGAGCACCAAGGTGAACTTTTTTTTTTTTTTTTTAAATACTATGCACAATCCTTAACTTTTGCCATTTACTCCCACAGCAGCCACTGTGCATTTATCCAGTAAGCGTTCACGCAAGGTTATTTCCATACCACTACTTATGGATATCAATCTCTCTTTTTTGTGTTATGCTTTTTTCTTTGTCACTGTTTCTCTCTCTGTCCATTTTTCTTCGATGTGACATGTGGCTTCTTGGTGTCAATTTTTTGCTTCATCACTATGTTTTTGAATAATTTCAAATGGTGTTCTATCTATCTATCTATCTATCTATCTATCTATCTATCTATCTATCTATCTATCTATCTATCTATCTATCTATCTATCTATCTATCTATNATCTATCTATCTATCTATCTATCTATCTATCTATCTATCTATCTATCTATCTATCTATCTATCTATCTATCTATCTATCTATCTATCTATCTCACCACCCCTCTGCTCTATTCTGGTCTCCGTTGTTGTTGTTGTGGTGCGTTTTGATTTTCCTTGTTTACATTTTGCTGTAGGGCAGTAGTTCGGTGAGCGGCAGCCCGGTCCCCTCCACCTCGGGGACCAGCACTCCACGGAGAGGCCGTCGCCAGCTGCCCCAGACCCCTGCAGTCCCACGTCCACATGTCACCTACTCCCCTGCCGTCCGCAAGCCCAGCTATGGCCCCCCGGGGCCGGGCCGCCTGCGTTCACCCTCCCCCCGACACTTCTCCCCACCAGACCACGACAGAGGCTACCACCACCGACCCCCGTCACGCCACGCCTCTCCCCACCACGGGGGGTCCTCATCCCGACATGGCTCCCCGCGCTCCCCTAGGCATCAGTCCCCACGCTCGCCCCTCCACGGCTCACCTAGGTCCCCTCACCGAAGCCGCTGGAGTGGGCCTCCACCTGGGGACAGCCTGGAGGGTGACGGGCCCTTCTACGAGAGAGATTATGAGTATGAGCGGCACCATGAGCCTCCTGCCTACGAGCAGAGCCTCTCCCATGGCAACCCACACCCACATGGAGGAAATCCTCACCCACACCCACGCTCACCTAGGACTGCCCGCCACGGGCCCCCTCCGCCCCCTCACCCACATCCACGTAGGGTACCCAATGGCTACCGCTCATCCTCACCTTCCCCACATCGGCGGGGACCACCAGGGGCGCCACCCCACCCACACCACCGGCCCCCCCATGCCAGAGGGCCCCGCAAGGGCCTGCATGAACCTTATAGCGAGACGGACGAGGATGACTGGTGCTAGCGACCACAGAGGGCAACGATAAGGCAGGAGGGGAGAAGAAGAACAGCCGCCTCCAGTGCTCTGGCCTTGGATATGTAGACTTTTAATAAAGCAGTGGTGGTGGAAATGTTGGGAGGGGTTGGATACCCTCAAATCCCTCTACCTTCACCCCTCAGACTCTGAATAAGCAGAAGTGGTGGAGGGGAGAGGGTGGTGAAGGTGCTGCAAATAGCCTTTTACACTTTTTGTGTAAGACTCAAATCAATGACAGAGCAGCACATTGTGAAAATGAAAAAGAGACCGCCTAAGATAACTTGGGCAAGGCCCGGGCAAAGTGTACCTCTGCCTCTCTCAGTCTCAGAACTATACTTCCCACAATCGGCCTTGACGACGAAGGCCGAGCTGTAGGAGGAAGAGGGATGTGTGGGAACAGAAAGCGGGGGGGGGGAGTACAAGGTTATAAAAATGAGCTGTGATCATTGCGGTTTACGAGGCCTAAAAGCACTTCTCCCAGACTGACGCCTGATTGCTTAGATTTGCTATCTGTCGCTGGCCAGACTAGTACTGTCAAAGCCTGAAAATGAGCTGGAACACAGAGTCCACTGCTTTGACTCTGCTCCTTGACAGATATGATTAAAGAAAAATAAATAAATAAAAAGCCAGGACCCCCTAACCCTTACATACCAAGCTATGCCTCCAGAAAATCAAACTTGAACAATGAAGAACACAATGAAACTTTATGTGACAAACAATGAAAAGAAAAAAAGGGAGAACAACCACTTTATCTTTAACCTTTTTCCTTTCCAAGGGACAGAACCAGGAAGCTCCGCCTATACTGCAAAAACCAGCCAATCACAGCGCTGGCTGATATTTGATGAGTTTTATCATCTCTGTTTACTGTTAAAGACTCACTTAATGCTGACGGAACTGCTGTGACATCACTTTCTGTCCAGCCGGTGGCGGTGGTAGTGGAGGGGGGCGAGGCACAGTGTGGGCTCACCTAGTGTTGGAGTGCGCTGGAGGGGTGGGCTCAGGTAACTAGAGAAGGGAGCCGGACACTTTGTCAAGCCCCTTCCTCCTCTGTAACTCAACTCGGCGCACGGCGAAGGATCACCTGGCAGGAATTGACATCACACAGTTCAATGGGGCGGAGGAGAGGAAAGGAGGGATGGGAAAAAAGACTAATTTCTTCAGTATTTCTTCTATCGATTACTTCTCCTTCTTGTTCTTCTTCGGACATTGGAGCTTGGTTCTTCTGTTGCATTCGCTCAGCCTCCTTTGATCTTTTTCGGAGTCCAAAATTTGATGGAAACCTGCATGATTGATTAAATACATACTAGAGAGGAAATCTAACTGGTGTGGGTGGGACCTGGGGGCTTTATAGGAAACTTTGCATTTAGGTTTACAAAAGAAGTTCTCTTCTTTCAAACTCTCTCTCTCTCATACGTCTCAAAAGAAATTTTTTGCTTCCTTTTTATCCGAAACAAGGCTTTGACGGTCGACTGTTCCGTTTGTCTCAGTTCTCTGCCCAAAGCTCAGTTTCTACAACAGACAAGAAACACGGCAGGATCACATTAAAGTTCCCTGTTGTGCTCGAGAAACAAGAGGGAGAAAGAGTGGAGAGAAGCGAACCTCTTCCACACTTCATTTATTATTGTTAATGATGACAGTCTTATGAATAATGATATCAATGTCAATGCAAAATGATGATGACAATGATGATGATGATGATGATGATGATACTGGTGATGATTGATTGATAGAACTGTTGCTGTAGATTTGTTGTCATGTTATTTGGAGTTCAAGTATGCTATGTCCATCTTGTTTACATCCGTTATGTTTTTATCCCCCGTTCAAATGACGTTTACTGGGTTCCTGATGCCTTCACGCAACGTTTCGGGGCGGTGACGGCTTGGGAACATTCACTTAGCAGCATTGCGTGTTGTAACGCAACTCTTAAGATACATTCTCTCTCCAGAATGGTGGAGGTCAGGGGAGTCTCAGTATCTGACCCGCAGTGATTCATGGGGTCAGTACTCTCAGTGCTCTGTCAAAGCCAACCCAAAGATCAATAATTCATGTTCAGAGCGAGGGGCAGAACGGATTATTGAGAGTGGGAAAGACTATCTGCATTTCACACTTAAGAGGTTTCAGAAAAGCCCGTTTTACAGAGGTTAAAGTTCTACCAAGGTTGAACTCTCCCACTTGCAGCCAAAAAAAAAAGAAAAAAAAACTAACAATCTCAATCTTTTCCCTCTGTTCGGCTCTGTAATTTTGTAGTGAGATCAGTTGCCGGAAATGACAGCACAGTATTGGTGGTACAGTGTTGGTGTCAGTCAGTATTACGTGGTGTTGTTCTCTTTTTTGCCACCAGGGGTCAGTTATCAGCACACATTACTCACCCTGCCTTCCCCCCTCTGCAGGACAGCCTCTGGGCCACATCCTAGTTTCTAGACCTGGAGTGAAACCTCCACTGATCTCTGATATCTTCGTTAGATATACAGATTAAGTTTGAGTCCTAGTCAGGAAACGCGGCTGTAGCCTGGGAGATGCCATATCTGTCCGTTCGTCAGTCTATCCTTATGTCTGCCTGTCTGTGCCAATGCTGACCCTCCTACCCGACCCCTGCCTCGCCCCCACCCCAACCTTTTCTCTCAGGTCTGGATAACCAGAGAACAGTCACCAAATCACCCCAAACTGAAACCTTCTCTGCCAAAACCCATGTCAGTATCCACCAACCTCTCTCTTCCTGATCTATCTTTTATTTCTGTCCATTTGCAGGACATCTGTTCTTTAAGCTTGCCAGACGGTTACACCGAAGGTACAAAATACTTTACTGAACAGAAACACTTAGGACTAATAATTTCATCCTTATCGTTATGAGGGACAGTTATTATTGAATATTCAATAACTCTAGGACAAAACGATAAAGTATAGATAAATATAGTTGATAACCTACCGATAAATCTAGATATAATACCGTAGATGTAGTAATAGATAACAGAGTATAATTAGAGTTTCAGATATTTATTTATTTTGCATACCGTTCACACACACGACACGGTCAAGAATCAAGCTACTCTTGAAACCTCGCGCTGTTTTCTTTGCAGTTGCAAAAGCCAGAAAACAAACCCCAGTCCACGTGTTTTGACTCTATGCAGACCTCATAGGCATCCTCATTGTATTATTTCAGAGGAGAAACTGCATCGCTGTGGTACTGTAGAGCAGATTAATTGAAGCGGGACCACGCGGATCTGAGAAAATGTGAAAATCGACAACACTTTTGCACACATCACTCGACATCGCACCCCCAGTGAAAGCCCTTTCTCTCATGTACCTCTGTCGCTGTATTTTTCCCTCCTTCCTCCAGCTGATCCCTTCTCCCTCTACAGATTTCTGCTCCCTCCAGAAATGTGTTGCCTCCAGGCCTAGTAGTTGAGCATAGAGAAGATGGGGATAGGGGGGTTTAGTTTTTGTTGATAGTTTGTTTGTTTGGCGGGAATGAAGGGGCACATAGCCGAAACCCCTCTGTCCACACCTTCCGTCAAGAGAGGTTACGACAGCTGGGGATTCTTCCCCAACGCCCCTACAGAGCCACAGTGCCTTCTGTATCCGAGTTCACATTTGTCACCCCCAGTCTCCTTACCCATAGTCACTCTTGTCCCTCCCCCGCCCCCCCTTACCCTCTGTAGTAGATGAGATCAACCACACTACGCCTTAAAAGTCGAGTCCCACCGGCTCCCATGCTAGCATAGACACAGGGAGAGTGGTGATTTTGAGACTGGGCCACGGTGACGAAATAGTCAAGAGGCTTTGCTTCATGCAGGGAAATCGATATCACATCCGGAATGGGCTAAACTGTTCAAAACTCCCATTCAAACATACACGCGTTTTTGTAAAAGTTGCCAAAAATCATAAGAGATTCACAAAGTTTGAATCTGAGCCTCGTGGTTTTGACTTTTAACGACTGAAACGAACATCGTATCCGGATCCTGCGAGCTGGCTAGCCCTCTTGGCTTTGGCGTGGCGCCGTTTTGTGTCCATCCCAGAAATGTCCTGGGTCCAGTTTCAGGCGTTGTAGTGAGAGGTTTACAGAGGTGCAAAGCAGTTTGCTTACTTCTCAGGTCCCTCTAGAGTTAGGTAGCTAGATAGTTAGACAACATAGGGAAGAGTCAGCTACAAAACAAGCAGGCCTCGGTTTGAGTTATTGTATGGTTTTACCTGGCATGGCGTCAGACGTTGTAATGTTGACCCCACCCTTCTCCTGTCACTAACCCACATTACACCCTCTGACCCCTCACCTCCCCATCAGCAGCCTGCCGACGCACCAACACTCAACGCCAAGCGTGTTGACAGACAGGCAGGACAAACCCACCTCCATTTTGGCTCCATGACACCACTCGCTTGTCCAGAATTGTAACAGCGGATCCAAAATGGCCAACACACAACACTGCCCTTGTGTGAAAGCATGTTGTGTGTGTGCTTTTCCAAGAACAACTCCCATTCCTTTGGAAAAACAAAAACAAAAAAAAGAAAAAAACAGTGAGCATCTGATCGTGTTTTGGTTGTTGTTTCACAGATTTTTTTGGGTTGGGGGGGATTGCAAGGTTTTTGCTCAGTCACCACTTCTCTCCACATCTGCTATCTGTCTTCACCTCCGGCTTCTGTCACCCTTCGGTCCTAACGTCTGACTAATCATTTTTTTGGATTTTCTTCTACCTTCGGGGATGAAGGAAAAACTAACAACCCATCTACTCAGTCGGCTGTGAAATTGTGTCAGTGGGTCAGTCATGAGGCAACGTGTCAACAAAAATATGAATAAGGGCTCTCTTTAAAAAGAAAAAAAAAAAAAAACTACACGGTGGGTTTTAATGTACAGTAGTGCTGCCAAAAGTTGTGCTTATGTAGCTGAAGCCACGCTGTGGTCTCCCCTTTGTACAGCACTAGATGTGTGCATGCGTGTGTGTGTAGGGGGGTCAGGAGCGAGGCGGGAGGGGCGGGAGGGTCCGAAGGCGACGAGA